GTGTATGTTTCAGGAACAGCAGCACAAACTGAGGCTTGTGCTGTGGCTGTTGATGATTAAACTATCAAACAATGCGTACGGGCAGATTGCTGGTTCAGGAATATTTTGGAGCAAACGCCCCAAAAGGCACTCTCCATAGCATTCATTTATTCACAAATGCCATCACATACATCCAACTTAGCTTTTTCTTTTCGTTTTCATAACATGTGCTGCTGTGTGTAGTAGTAGCCAGCCTATGGTCTTCTTACCAGTGCTGAACCATCTTTTGCTTTTTGGCTGCTTTTGTTTCTGCCTTTTGCGTTACAATACTATTGCAATACACTATACAAATACAGTGTTCAGACTTCGTATTCACATGTAATTATCTAATCAAGTACCATTGTTGGCCTTGGACGTTGACACTTTACGTTACAAACTAAAAGACGGAGTCCAGTGGTAAATTTTTGCATAAACAAACAACAAGGTTGTGCCTGTGCCACTTGCTTTATTGGGTTTCGATTCTGAATTGAAATGACCAAAACCAGACGTTACAATTATAGTTTTAACAGTGCCCATTAATCATACAGTTACACTACACGATATTCAAATTCTTTTACTGATAAAAACTGTTAATTTAAGAGCTTTGTATGGGAGTTACAAATGAACTTCAAAAATTCAAGACACTGTTAAAATGCTGCCCAAATGCTCCATCAGTGTCATGAATTTAGCTTAATCTTGTCTAAGTGCAAAACAAGTAAAATCTAATCAAGAAATTTACTCCTACATCTTGTGAATATACACGAATATGACATCATATGAATAAAACAACGACAAAAGTCACAAGTAAATACCAGAAATCATAATAAGTATACTTTTTAAGGAGATTATTGTTGTTGTTATTATTATCTTTATAGTAAATTTTGATTAAATACCAGTATAAAAATGTTCTGCTTATACCATTTACTTGGTTGGATCACTGCATATTTTTAGTAGAAAGATAAGAACAATGATTGAAAATTGGTCACACACTTTTATGTATGGCATTGTGAGTATCACCTTAAGCCTAACTTTTACCCTCATGATATCTTACCAAACCATGGAAGTATCCCTGCACAAGATAGGATAGGAAGCAAAGGGTGAAAAGCAAAAGATGTGACACGTAGGGCAAGGGCAGCATGAAGATACAGCAATCACGATGACAGTGGGGATGATTTGATGAAGGTTTTGGGGTCAATGTTGGATAGTATAAGGCAGAAGAAAGAAAGAAAGAGGTTGGTTTGGTTGTTTGTTTCAAAAGAAAGAAAGAAAAAAGTGTCTAAGACATCCTGACATGGAGTGTGGTGGCATGGATCATGTCACTGAGGTGACCGGAACTCAATAAAGATGCAATTATTAGAGACAGCACCACTACACATCTCTGCATTCTTATTTCCTTTCCCAACTCATTATATATTATTCATAACTCATCACACTATTTTTTTTTCAGTTATTAAAATTCATAAACTACTGCATCATGTCACAGGTATATTCCTTCCTTGTCTGGGGTATAATTAGATATTTACACCCTTTTTCTTTTTTAGACCAAAGTTCTCCTTCATTTATGCATAACCTTTTATAATTTAACCATTCATACTTTATGCAGCTTCATGACAAATATAATCATTTTCCGACAACAACAAAAACTTTATCGAACGAAAATCCTAAACTTGCAGAAATGCTGTGGCGCGTCTTACACCTTAACGGCTCCATTATCACAAACTATATATCTGTCTTAAAAGTAATGTCAATAAGATTAATTAAGATTAGTTTATGAATGTTTTTTCATGTCAAATTGGCTTAATGACGCCAAAACTACTTAGATTTGTTGTTAAAAGTATGTTTATGTTTTATAATCAGCATGCATGAAAAATTAAAAAAGGGTAATCTAATAGTTGTTTTGAAAAATGAAACCCTATTTCACATAAGCCCAATGACGAAAAGCACATCATGCACATCGAACATATATATGCATTACCACGTCCATTAAAAATCAAGCAACCACCACCAACCAGTATTATGGGATGAAAATGATTAAGGCTATAATAATATATATGTTCTGAAATCAAATCTCTAAGCTATACTTAGGGTTAATAACTAATTCGAGGAGAAGTTTCTTTTGGAGTTCAAACTCAATTCTCTAACAATTTTGCTTTTGGGAGACATTTTAATTATAATATTCTAAATTTATCACAATTCTAAATATCACTAAACTTTCTCACAATTTTATTCTTATCAAATATCTTAATAATTATATGTACCACAAAATGTCTGTAAGGTACTCTTAATTTTGTTATCTAAGTTATGTAAATTTGACCAAAGGAAACTATTATTATTATTATTATTATTATTATTATTCTTAACACCACGACTTTTTAAAACTAATTTATTCCTAAAAGTCAACAAACTAAAATTTAATTATACTTTTAAAAATTCAAAAAGTTGGAAATAAAAATAATTCCAAAGCTACCTGATTATATCTTATGTATTAGTTTTCTTTCTTATTGAAAAAATGAACTTCCAAAAGTTTCATCTTTAACTTTAATTAATATTTTTATTTTTTCTCTTTCTTATTAAAATTACTTTGTACCCTTTAATAGATTTTGAAATCTGTACAGATTTTAAAACACCATCTCTCTGGTGAGGGAAGGTATTGTCCCCCCCCCCACTTTTCTTATTACCTTTTTTTGGGCGGAGAGATTGGTTTTAATCGTACAGATTTCAAAATCTATTAAAGGGTACAAAGTAATTTTAATAAGAAAGAGAAAAAATAAAAATATTAATTAAAGTTAAAGATGAAACTTTTGGAAGTTCATTTTTTCAATAAGAAAGAAAACTAATACATAAGATATAATCAGGTAGCTTTGGAATTATTTTTATTTCCAACTTTTTGAATTTTTAAAAGTATAATTAAATTTTATTTGTGACTTTTAGGAATAATTAGTTTTAAAAAGTCGTGGTGTTAATAATAATAATAATACTAATAATAATAATAATATTTCCTTGGTCAAATTACATAACTTAATAACAAAATTAAGAGTTAACTTACAGACATTTTGTGGTACATATAATTATTAAGATATTTGATAAGAATAAAATTGTGAGAAAGTTTAGTGATATTTAGAATTGTGATAAATTTAGAATATTATAATTAAAATGTCTCCCAAAAGCAAAATTGTTAGAGAATTGAGTTTGAACTCCAAAAGAAACTTCTCCTCGAATTAGTTATTAACCCTAAGTATAGCTTAGAGATTTGATTTCAGAACATATATATTATTATAGCCTTAATCATTTTCATCCCATAATACTGGTTGGTGGTGGTTGCTTGATTTTTAATGGACGTGGTAATGCATATATATGTTCGATGTGCATGATGTGCTTTTCGTCATTGGGCTTATGTGAAATAGGGTTTCATTTTTCAAAACAACTATTAGATTACCCTTTTTTAATTTTTCATGCATGCTGATTATAAAACATAAACATACTTTTAACAACAAATCTAAGTAGTTTTGGCGTCATTAAGCCAATTTGACATGAAAAAACATTCATAAACTAATCTTAATTAATCTTATTGACATTACTTTTAAGACAGATATATAGTTTGTGATAATGGAGCCGTTAAGGTGTAAGACGCGCCACAGCATTTCTGCAAGTTTAGGATTTTCGTTCGATAAAGTTTTTGTTGTTGTCGGAAAATGATTATATTTGTCATGAAGCTGCATAAAGTATGAATGGTTAAATTATAAAAGGTTATGCATAAATGAAGGAGAACTTTGGTCTAAAAAAGAAAAAGGGTGTAAATATCTAATTATACCCCAGACAAGGAAGGAATATACCTGTGACATGATGCAGTAGTTTATGAATTTTAATAACTGAAAAAAAAATAGTGTGATGAGTTATGAATAATATATAATGAGTTGGGAAAGGAAATAAGAATGCAGAGATGTGTAGTGGTGCTGTCTCTAATAATTGCATCTTTATTGAGTTCCGTGTCCACCTCAGTGACATTGGATCCATGCCACCAACACTCCATGTCAGATGTCTTAAGACACTTTTTTTCTTTCTTTCTTTTGAAACAAACAACCAAACCAACCTCTTTCTTTCTTTCTTCTGCCTTATACTATCCAACATTGACCCCAAAACCTTCATCAAATCATCCCCACTGTCATCGTGATTGCTGTATCTTCATGCTGCCCTTGCCCTACGTGTCACATCTTTTGCTTTTCACCCTTTGCTTCCTATCCTATCTTGTGCAGGGATACTTCCATGGTTTGGTAAGATATCATGAGGGTAAAAGTTAGGCTTAAGGTGATACTCACAATGCCATACATAAAAGTGTGTGACCAATTTTCAATCATTGTTCTTATCTTTCTACTAAAAATATGCAGTGATCCAACCAAGTAAATGGTATAAGCAGAACATTTTTATACTGGTATTTAATCAAAATTTACTATAAAGATAATAATAACAACAACAATAATCTCCTTAAAAAGTATACTTATTATGATTTCTGGTATTTACTTGTGACTTTTGTCGTTGTTTTATTCATATGATGTCATATTCGTGTATATTCACAAGATGTAGGAGTAAATTTCTTGATTAGATTTTACTTGTTTTGCACTTAGACAAGATTAAGCTAAATTCATGACACTGATGGAGCATTTGGGCAGCATTTTAACAGTGTCTTGAATTTTTGAAGTTCATTTGTAACTCCCATACAAAGCTCTTAAATTAACAGTTTTTATCAGTAAAAGAATTTGAATATCGTGTAGTGTAACTGTATGATTAATGGGCACTGTTAAAACTATAATTGTAACGTCTGGTTTTGGTCATTTCAATTCAGAATCGAAACCCAATAAAGCAAGTGGCACAGGCACAACCTTGTTGTTTGTTTATGCAAAAATTTACCACTGGACTCCGTCTTTTAGTTTGTAACGTAAAGTGTCAACGTCCAAGGCCAACAATGGTACTTGATTAGATAATTACATGTGAATACGAAGTCTGAACACTGTATTTGTATAGTGTATTGCAATAGTATTGTAACGCAAAAGGCAGAAACAAAAGCAGCCAAAAAGCAAAAGATGGTTCAGCACTGGTAAGAAGACCATAGGCTGGCTACTACTACACACAGCAGCACATGTTATGAAAACGAAAAGAAAAAGCTAAGTTGGATGTATGTGATGGCATTTGTGAATAAATGAATGCTATGGAGAGTGCCTTTTGGGGCGTTTGCTCCAAAATATTCCTGAACCAGCAATCTGCCCGTACGCATTGTTTGATAGTTTAATCATCAACAGCCACAGCACAAGCCTCAGTTTGTGCTGCTGTTCCTGAAACATACACAGATCAGGCAGCAGCAGGAGTTTCCTTTTCTCAACTCTCTTCACTCTTTCTTTTAACAGATACATAGATAGAGAGATAGGCAGAGAAACATGGTTTCTGAAACCTCCCTCTCTTCTTCTAAACGCTCTCCGGCTACTCCCAAGTTTTGCAACTCATTCACTACTAGGTAATTCAGAAACCTTTTGTTTCTTATTTTTCTCTTTGACTGTGTATGGATGTATTTTGGGAGTGTCATAAACTTTCCTGCCTATGTTTCTTTTGAAGGTGGATTGAAAATGTAACCTCATGAGCTTGTTTTGCTAGTCTTATTTTCACCGTAGTTCTATCTTACTGGTTTAGAAATTAAAGCATTTGATAATATTTTGATTGTGCATCTGATACCTTAGTTTGTCCTTCCTTTGGATTTTGTGGAAAAGGTTATGCATATTATCCAAAACGGTTTTTATTGTGGGATTTGGAGATTTTTGAGCTAGATAGAGATTATCTAAGTTCTTTGGAAAATTCTAGGTGAACAGATGCCTAAAGACAATATTCTTATTTCTTTGCTTTGTAAGTTTTTAGGCTGAAGGGTGAAATGACTCAAAGGATGCTGAATCCATGCATCCTTGACAGGATTTTATAACAGTTGTCATCCCATGTTTTCTTTTTTGTTGCAGGATTTTTGCTGATGTTGCCGGAGACATTACAATTGTCGTTGATGGTGAATCTTTTCTGCTACATAAGGTAATTCTTTTGAGATGATGTTGAAAACCACTTGATACTTTCATGACTAGTTCTAGTTGTCATTGAGTTGTGAGTTTTATATTCTAAACTGTAGCCATGTGTTTAATTTGGGCGTCTCTTTTACCAGTTGCTATGAATTGGGATATGGTGAACAGTATGTCCAAAATTGATAATATGCTAACAACCAACTAAAAATCAACCACTATTTGCCAAAACTCATGCCTACTTTAAGATATCAAAGAGAAAAGTTGATGACTTCTATTTGGCTTCTTTTGAGTGCAAAATAGCTGCACCAGTCAACTCAATGATACTAAGATAATGTATTTGATAGTACAGAAATAAAAATCTATTTAAACTAATGTCGCTACTTTGTTCTGGTTCATGAAGTTTCCCCTGGTGACTCTAAGTGGAAAAATCCGGAAAATGGTGGCTGAAGCCAAGGGTTCCAATGTTTCAAACTTGGAGCTCCTCAACTTTCCAGGGGGGCACCAGACATTTGAACTTGCCATGAAGTTTTGCTATGGGATGAATTTTGAGATTACAACATTCAATGTTGCCCGGCTTCGTTGTGCAGCAGAGTATCTGGAAATGACAGAAGAATACAGGGAGCAAAACCTCATTTCAAGAGCAGAGATTTATCTGAATGAGATTGTCTTTCAGAGTCTTCAGAAGTCAGTGGAAGTGCTATCCACATGTGAGATGTTGCCTACAAATATAGTGGATGAAATTGAAATATCAAGTGGATGTGTGGAATCCATTGCAATGAATGCTTGCAAGGAGCAGCTAGTTTCTGGCTTATCTAAATTAGACTGTGATGGAGAATCTAGAGAGCTAAAGGAGGATTGTGTTGCCTGGTGGGTTGAAGATCTCTCAGTTCTGCGTATAGATTACTTCCAAGGAGTTATTTGTGCCATGGGAAGAATGGGGGTGAGATCAGATAGCATTATTGCATCACTGATGCATTATGCTCAATCATCTCTAAAGGGTATTGGAAAATGCCAATTCTGGAATCCATCAAGGACAAACTCAAGTCCAACCAGTGTAGAAAAGGACCAGAGGATAATTGTGGAAACTCTTGTGAGTCTCATGCCAACAGACAAAAGCTCTGCCATTCCCTTGACATTTTTGTTTGGCATGTTAAAGATGGCNTTCTTGATAATAGATGGAATGGAACAATTAAGGTGAACTGATGATGAAGGAAAGGTGAATTTTTAACGAGATTGAGATAGGTTCACAAATTTATTACGTTAGGTTTGTTGTGGTAATCAGGCCCTCAAGAGCATTTTTTAGGTTTGCGGTGCCAACACAAGGGAGAAAAGAGGCTCGAAGGAAACTTAAGTAATTGCTTACCACATTTACTTAAGCCAAAGGAGAGAATACGTATTAAATGAAACTTTTGACTTCATTAAACAAGTTGATCATGCTTTTTGTTTTTTTTCCACAAATATATATTATTTTTTAATAATTCAGAATATTTTCTTTCTTTTTTATTTAAATATAAAAATAAGAACGAAATTGAAAATAAAATAAAAAAATAAAATAAAGCAAAATAAAAAGAAAAACATTTTTCTTCATATGACATTATTTTATGTTTTCATTACTTTTATTTTTACCAAGCTTGATTTTCTTATTTAATTGCTCAGACAAAATTGGGTATTGATAGTTATTATACGGGTGTGGTAATGGTGGGTGCTCGTGTTTGGATTTTTCTAATTCAATTATGAATTTAGTAATTCAGAATACACTATCAAATCTAGGAGTGTATATTGGATTAAACAATTTAGAAGTCTAAAGTTGAAACAATATCATATTGGACAATCTTAAAAGTATTTATGGATTCAGTACTACATCTCGGATTATTGAGCAATCTAATAAGCACTTGTGGATTTTGGATTATGAAATCAAGATTACATTATCAAATCTCGTACTTCATTATGGAATTCCTAATTCGGTACTTATTTTTTACTATAAAATTGCTTAATTTAGAATTTATAGGTGCATGTCAATCCGGAATGGTCTCTCGAATATTGTATTGCATATTGGATTGAACAATCTGGAAAGTGCAAGTGCGCACCGAATAAAAAAATATGAAATTATTTGTCATATCCGGTAGTACATTCTAGATTAGCCAATTTGGAATGCAACATCAAATTTAAGAGTGCATTCCAGCTTGTTGGATTCGGTACTTATTGGTGTTTTTCTGCATAATTATGCAGAATGGTTAGAAAGTATGTAATAAGATTTTTTGAACTATTCATTTTGCTTTTGGAGGTGTTGGACTTGTTAGACGTGGATGATTATTTTAGTAGACTATCAAGTGAAGTTGATAAGAGCTTCTCGATGGAAGAATGAGAAATGTTAATGAGTGATGATGAAATGGTAGGAGGACATTATAATTGATCTTTTACAACTTATGATATATTCATTATGCGTGATGACCTACTTGAGTGGATGTGAGGTATTACTTTTAATCTTAGTTTTGTAGTTGTTATTATGAAACCTGACAAAGCTAATGGGCAATCTGAAAAAAAAAAGTCATATTTTTTGTTAGGATGTATGATGCATGGTTCCACCCAATTGATGCGATGCGCTTGATAAGGGTTCCATATGATCCTATCATATATTAGGCCATCTAGTTGCAGCTTAACCTTTTCCACCCTGCAGATTTATGGTGAAGCAACAAACTGAGCAACTTGAGGCATAACCTCATCATATGACGAGGATACATCTCACCTTCCCATCCTAAGAAAGTGTTCACACATTCAACCCCTACCATAATATAAATAAAAAGTTATATCGTGCATCAAGAAAGGAGACAACAATTTAATATGTAAATTGTACACCATTTACCAATAAAAGTATTCCATAATTAGCTAGTTGCTTTGTTTGGACATAGCATGCATTACCTAATTGCTCATACGCATGAGTTAATACAACAACCACCAAATAATAATACACAAGTCCTCGAATCTCTAAACAACAGCAAATAAAAATAATAAATAAACTCATTTTCGTAAATATTATTCAAACCTAGTTTTGATGGAAACCAATATAAATAAATAAATATATATATATATATATATATATATATATTATATATATATATATATATATTAATGTTCTTTTGTTTTATGTAATCTTTTTATCTCTTGGTTATATACTTTCTTAATTGTTTGACTTGTTCGTGAAGGTTTAATCGAATCTTCAAGGTATTTGGTTTTTCTTCTTATCACAACCTTATTACACATTCTTCCTTCGTGTGTGGTTATATTCACATTGACGTTCTCAATTTCTTTCTATCAAATCATTTTTCCTTGCACCGTCTCAATGTCTTCACACACCTCCCAAATTTTCAAATTACTATTTTTACATTTTATAAAAGTAACTTTTGGATTACATATTTTGAAATTTTCTAAAAATTTTCATAATGAAAATTTTAAAATGTATGACGTGTATTCTGAAACAAGATTTTCGAAATAAGACTTCCATAAATACTTTACGGAATGAGTTTTGTCGAAGATCAAGGTTTTCGAACTCAATAATTTATAATTAATTAATAATACTTTATCACTACGATGTTATTCCATACGACATGATTTAACCCTGATTTTCTTTGAAGATCACACCTTGCGCTGAACTACCACAGTGGTAGTGACCACTGCAAAGAAAATGTCTTTGTTGAAGCTTTATGGAGTAACAACTTCTCAATTTTAGAATCCCAAATTTGAAACAAAAAGCCTGCCTTTGAAGAACATGGCATCGTCTTTGATCTTCCGTGCTTCGCGTAGGTTTCTCAAAGCTTCTTCTTCGGTATCTCTTCACCTGGCCAACTTCAACCCTTTGAGCTCCGCTCAGCAATTTGCAACCCAAAACCGAAACCCCACTCTAAATCCCCCGTTAAAGCCACCCCAGCTACAAAATTACAATTTTGAGTTTCGTAAAACTGTTGGGTCTCTCTCAAATTTTCATCTTGTTGCACACGTATCCACGTGGCCCTCGAAGGAGAACAAGAACCAAAGCGGTAGTGTGAGTAGTGGGGGTGGAGGGGACGCCACTTGGGTGGATTTGTACTTGCCAAAGCAGGTTCAGCCCTATGCTCGCCTTGCTCGTCTTGATAAACCAATTGGGACGTGGTTGCTCCTATGGCCTTGTATCTGGTAAGAGTTCTTAGTTATTGATCTTATGGATAAATGCTTTCACTCTCATAAAAACACAGAGATCATGATTGTTTATAAACATTAAACTTAATGTGTAGATAGACTTGCTTATTAAAACTTATAATTGAAGAAACTAAGAAGAAAAAATGAAATGAACACCTCTTTAAGTGAAGAATAAGTTTTTCTGGAGAAACTAATAGCAGAGAGTTTCTGCAAATTAATTTATGATATGCTTATGGAAATATTTCTCCATGCAGACTCTAAGTCTCTAAATACCAATCTGTTAAATTTTCACAATTCAAAGTTAATTCAAAGTTGATTAAGAATAAGACCTACAAGTGGGCAAACCTCATCCTGGAAGCCTTTTATAAAAATGAGTTAGGCTTAAACTGGTATAAAATTTTATCCTGGTGAGATTTGTTGAGCCTATCATACTATCTGCTGTTGCTCTTCCATTGGACCACCTACAAATTACAATACTTACCTTAAAGTCAAACAATGATGATTTTTTATTGGCAGGTATAGAAATTAAACAAAATTGTGTATGCCTGCCTGCAAAGAATTTATACACTTTCATGCAATCACAAATTGCCAATTGTAGTAAATTTGTTGACTTTACAATAACCTCCTTAAAGTTATGTCTGGTGATTTCTTTCGGTTGACAGAACATGGATATTAAACTTTTGGAAATAAAAAGAATTGGGTAATGAATTGAGGAATTTTTAAGGCTAAAAGAGATCTTTCTTTTCTGTAATTTAGATGTGATACTTCATTTATTTCAACCTTGTTATTGCATGCCTATATCATTATTATTAATCTCCTGGTCAATTCTAAACTCATACATGAGACTATTCTGTCAATTTAGCAATGTACATGAAAGCTACAACTTGTCTCATCAGGTTAAACGCATGTATAGTGTCCCTATGATGTGAAACAAAATATGAGCCTAAAAAGTTCACCACTTTAAATCCTATTCTCTCTTTTTTATTGTCTCTAATTTTCATGCATTTAGGTCAATTACCATGGCTGCAACCCCGGGTCATCTTCCTGATTTTAAAATGATGACTCTGTTTGCATGTGGGGCTTTGCTTTTGAGAGGTGCTGGGTGTACCATTAATGATCTCCTTGACCGGGATATTGATACAATGGTAAATGTTAAATTTTTTTGGTTGCTTTGATTGTTATAGGGGATAATGAGATAGTAAACGAGTCGCAAATTGTTATGGCAGTGTTGTTTGTATTTGGATGTGATCGACTAAGATAATAGATGCTAATAGGGGAATGAACTGAACGCTAAGTCATGGCAACTCTAATGCTTTAACATTTCACGTGCCCTGTGAATCATCTTTATTTTCTATAATTTGTAGAAAATAATTTCATGTTCTAAGTACTTATCATGTTTCCAATGTGATAAAATTATATCAATTTACATGCACGAAACTTCCTTTTGATCTTCTGTTTGTCCCTCACCCTGCCCTTTTTGGCTTGATATAGGGGGATGTCTTGTCCTCCTTTCTTCCTAAACCTTGTTATTGAACTTCTTTTATTGATAAGAGGATTGGACTAAGATTTAGGTAGGAACAAAGGGCCTTGAGATGAACATTAGAGACCTTGGATGCTAGTGATACAAACTGAATGCATCAATAAGTAAAATGAAAGAAATTTAGCAAAATGGAGAATCAAGATGCCGTGTATTATTGAGATAAAAGAAAATTCAGTAGAATAGACTCTCAGAGTTCTACCCATAGTATACAGAGCAATCCATAACTAACAAAATGGTACGCATGGATATCTTCTCCTCACTCTGTTTCTCTCCTATATTCCAAAATCAAATTCCACTGTTCAGTTACTAACCTTCATTCCCTTTCTCTCTTACTTCCAGCTCATCACTTCTCTCTGTCATCATCATACATTCCTTCCAGTGTAAACCTTCCAAACTTTGGGCCAATGAGACAGGTATCGAGCTTCCATTCCCTTCTAATCCTATAGCTAATTGAGTCTCTAACACCTATTGTTAGGAACCAAGAA